TTTTAAAGTCTCAATTATCTTCTTCCTGATAACATCCCAATTATTATTGATGCATGTATATTGAAATTGAAATTTTTAAAAAAATCACACCAACAATACTTTTAAATGTATAAACCTTTAAGGTATAAAATTAAACAAATTTTACCTTAGACCCAGGTTCTTGTTCCTTGGTGGGAGCTTCATTTTTTAATCTTGAAAACAAAATAAGCATTGAATATATTATTTTATACTTATGATAGTGAACTATGAAACACTTCTTTTTTTGCATGCCCAAATAATTAAAACATAAATCTAAACTAATGTATATTTTATACTATAATGGTAAATGACTTCTGTAAAAATAAAATGTATGAGAATAAAAAGTAGATTCAATAAATGTGCTAAATAAATAAATAAAGACATATATGAAAGTATTTCCTTCTCTAAAAACAAGAGCACTTAAGAAATGTTCTCTTTGCTAAGTACAATTTAAAATAAAAGATATATACATTATCTAAAGGGTCTTTGTTTTAGAAACTGCTGATTCTGAGTACTAATTCTGATATTATATACTAAACTCAATTTTAATCTGCATGAGTACCTACCTGATCTGAAATGCCATTAATCAAGAGTTAAGTGATTCATAACTTTATGAAGGCTTAATAGCTACACCTAAGGAATAACATATTTAACATAAACAACAAGTATATTGATTTAGATTTCACTGACAAAAATAAAGATATCTAACAGGATAGAAATGTTAACCTTCATGGATAGTCAACGAAATATGGAGCTGGCAAACACCTTCCTTCTTTATCCATTCTCTGAGGGCACATTTTAAAAACTAGGGCTACAAATGTTTACGCTTTAGTAGATATTAATAATAATAAGCTGTGTAATTATCTATCTACATTTTATTTATTACACAAAATTGCAAACAATTTAAAATAGATCATGTCCTTTTTTTGGTAGAACCACTATATTGGTAGTGCATTACAATAATTTGTAAGTAATTTGTCAAACAAATTGAAATGAATAAAACTTGTAGAAAAAATTGACAAAATATACAAATGCCATCATATTTTGGGTTAAAGATTTTATAACTGTCTCAAGTATTTGTGAACAACAGCTTTATAAAGATGAGATTACATTAAGTATATAGTAAAACTTCATTGCTTTAATGAAGTACATGGGAAAATAATAATACTTTTAAGAATAACATGTATAAAGTATCAATAAGAAAACATGAAAAATTAGTTTAAAGCAAAAAGTAGATAGTGAATTAATGAAGTTTTGAAATAAATTTGCATATTACAACTGATTTTTATTTCTAAGCATTTAATCATTTTAAATT